CTTCCCCTCTTAGAGTACTGTCTCAATTGGCTCACAGCTGGCTTCTGCCAATGGGGACTTGGGGGTGGGGCAATGGCAGAAGACTTGAAATTGGGAACAAGGGAGAAGCCAGGGCATTTCTCTGGGCATTCATTTGCCTCCTGCACCTTCCCAGGCAGCACTGAAGCCTGCCATGGTTCTGGTTCTCACCAAGTGACCCAAGTCCCTCCCTCCTCATCCTGTGTCCTTCCAGCCTGGGGTTGGTTATGACCTTTTCCTCTTGCTAAATCTATTGGCCTCACTTATCTCTGATTGGCTTCTTCTGTCTCTTTCATTACCTGTTTCAGGCTTTCATCAATAACCTGCATAAGAATCCGGCCTTTATAAATTCCAGGTGAATCCTATTTTCCTTGATTGGACCCTGACTGACCCGAGGTCTAATACAGGCTCCTGCTCAACTGAATTCTTGGGCAAAGTACACTATTGGAAGTGCAGTTACTCTGTGTTCATCCCAAAGATCTCAGAGGACCATCTAGAGCAGTGGTTCTCAACCTTCCTAATGCCGCGACCCTTTAATACAGTTTCTCATGTTGTGGTGACCCCCAACCATAAAATTATTTTCATTGCTACTTCATAACTGTAATTTTGCTACTGTTGTGAATCATGCAGGATGTATTTTCATTGTTACAAATTGAACATAATTAAAGCATAATGATTAATCACAAAAACAATATGTAATTATATATGTGTTTCCCGATGGTCTTAGGCGACCCCTGTGAAAGGGTCATTTGACCCCCAAAAGGGGTCACGGCCCACAGGTTGAGAACCGCTGCTCTAGAGTGTGAACTCCCACAGTCACTGTTCTCTTTGCAGCCCTTCTCCTTTAGTTAAACGAAGATTCCACCTTGAGTCTGCTCTGTGCCATGTTCCTAAGATGAAAGCAGAGAAACATTATTTTTCTTCATTTCTGCTCACAAGACACTCAGCCATTACACTTGAATGTTAGTCCAGCTGCTTCCCCTTCTTCAAGCCACACTCCCCAAATTCACCACAGGGAGCTGATGTATGAGTGATTCTGCTACCACATGGTAGTATCCTTCCTAGAAAGTCACAGAGGATGACAGGGTTCCCAGCTTATTTCTACAGGGATGACAGACAGGGTGGGAAATGGATCTGTGAGCAGCTAGCATTCTAAAATTCTATTCTTGCTGCTTTCTTCCCAAGGAAAGACATTTGGGCCCCAAAATGACAGTTAGAATGGCTTTAGGGAGTTTAAATTAATTCTAGGAATATACTCTTAATGCCAGAGTATCAAACTAGGGATGTGCATCCCGTGCTTTCATTAAACTTATTTTGGAATTTGAAC